CACATAAATAAATAAATAAATAAATAAATAAATAAGACTCTTGAGTAGCTGTTCTATGGGAAACTTGTAATTCTTTATGTTTTGTTTTGTTTTGTGTCTTTTTGAGGCAGGGTCTAGCTATGCCGTTCAGGCTGGCCCAGGCTGGTCCCCAACTCTCAACAATCCTCTCACCTCAGCCTCCTGAATGCTGAGATCACAGGCATTTGCCACCACACCCAGTGGGAAACTTACAATTCTTGAAAATATTTAAAAATGCTCTACTCTGGCTTCTCTTCAGACTGTATAAATCTTTTACTTTTTAACAAATGCTTTATCAGTAGGTGATCCTTAAGGAATATCAATTAATTAAGTTTCTAGAGGGAAAAACTATAATGGCAAATTTGTTAACACTGAGGGTTGAAGGTGGGGAACATTCCACAGATCCTGACGTCTGCCCCTGAGGTGTCAAGGATTGTAGTCGCTGCATAGAACGGTTATTTCCCAGCTGCACCCTTCCAGTTTACCAGATTACTCTCGGACTTGAGAATCAGCCTACAATTCTTCTGCATTCTTAGCATCTGGCTTTGCCTTGCCCCATCTTCAGCAGGATTGTCATCTACTCTGAGCTTCTCTACCCAAGACAGGATACTACCCCACATCTTGAGATCAGAAAAATGTGTGTAGATCAACTTAATCTTCTGTCTCCCCTAACAATTTTAAGATAAACTGAGGGATAGGAATGTAGCTGAGTGGTGGAGTGCCTGTCTCCACAGGTACAAGGTCCTAGGTTTGCAGTAGGGAAAAAAAAATACACAAAAAGAAAGATTAAGTTGAAAAAAAAGAACAAATTGATGAAGGTCAAACAGTATGTGGAGCCTGCATGATAACACTCACTCATAATCCCTGAGACAGATGATCATCCTGAGTTCAATGCCAGCCTGGAATACAGAGGGACACTCAGGGTATGGTGGCCCCTACCTGTAATCCCAGCACATGAAAGGCTGAAGCAGTAGGATCACCATGAATTTGAGGACAGCCAGGACCACATAAGAGTTCAAGGTCAACTTGTACTACATAGCAGACCCCGTCTCAAAAAATAGGGACCAGGCGTATAGCTCAGCACAACATCTGCCTGGCAAGCTCAAGGTCCTGAGTTCAATTCCAAGTTCCAAAAGCAAATTTTAAATAAACTAATGCATGGAATGTACAAGCCAATCCTTCACACACTTGACAAATTAAAGAGAAAAGAATGGATTCTTTTTTTTTTTCAATGTATTTGGTTGTTATAGGGTCTCACTACGCAGCTCAGACTCATAGTGATCCTCCTGTTTTCAGCCTCCCCAGCACTGGGATTGCAGGAGTACGCCTGGACTCTGTGGCCAGCTCACCATCCCTGGGGGCAGGGCTGGCTTGGCATGTGGTGCCGAGGTTCGACCCGCAGTCCCTGCGCCTACCTAAGCAGACGCTTTAGTCTGCTGCGCTATCTCACCAGCCCAAAGACTGGATTCTATCATGACTAAGTGCCCGAAGATTATTGAGAAGTATGTGCTTGCCTCTAGTGCTTACCTGAGCATGATTCCACCCAAGCGAATGGCTCTCTTCCAGTCCTTCAGAGTGGACTTGCCAGCCAGATGAACAAAATGCTTAGGGCTGATCAGCTGATCATTAAACTAAGGTAAAAAGAAAAGTCCAAAGTAGTTCAATGTCAACTTGGGCAGGTCAAGAAAAAAAAGAATGAAATGATAACTTCATTTGCTATGTGCAAAAAATACTCAAAAAAACTGTGTTTTTATTATTGTTGTTATATTTTTGGAGACAGGGTCTCCTTATGTAGTTCATGCTGACCATGAACTCATGGGTATCCTCCCGCTTCAGTCTTGGAGCACTGGGATTACAGGCATGTGCAACCACACCTGGCATAAAATCATAACTGTGCCCTCTCCTGAAACAAAGCTACAGAACACATGAGCAGCCTCGGAGAGGGTATCACTCAGCATCTGAGGTCCACTTACACCTCAATCATGTGGATGGGTCTTGCACTGCAAAGGCTGATCAAATAGCTGCACCAAGTGTGAACACTTGT